ATTTTATGTTTCATTTATATCTGCTGTAGAAGAAGTCGGAAGTCATTCTTCTTGTATTTCTGTATTTCTCCTTTTCTTTTTAGCACTTTTGCTTTCTTTAACTCTAGCTTTCTATTCTTTTTATTGATTATTAGTTTGTCTTTTTCATCTTCCTGCTTTTTAAAATTTAATAAAGCTATTATTAAAAAAAGGAAGCTACCACATCTTTTTCAAGGGGAGACACTTCAGAGGTGGAAAGGACTTTTTACTCTAAATTCCAATCTTTAGCTGCAACAGTTCAGTTGTAGTTTTCAGGCAGAGTCCAGAATCTCAGTCTTTTTTTGGAGGGGCCATTTATGGGGGTTTAAGAGATCAGACAAATATCTTAAACCTTGCAGAGAAAAGCACGTGTATCATCATGTTAAAAGCCCCTAATTCTCCCCCCCCCCCCCCCATTTCCCCAAGAGAGCCAGTTTGGTGCAGTGGTTAAAGGCACCAGGCTAGAAACAGGGAGGCCGTGAGTTCTAGTCCCACCTTAGGCACAAAGCTAACTGGGTGCCTTGGGGCCAGTCCCTCCTTCTCAGCTCTAGGGAGAAGGCCATGGCAAACCACTTCTGAAAAACCTTGCCAAGAAAACTGCAGGGACTAGTTCAGGCAGTCGCCAGGAGTCAAAACTGACTTGAAGGCAAAAACACAAAAAATTGCTTGGACAGGAGACCACTAAGGAATCCCAGCATTGTCGGCTAGCATGGGAGGAGGAGGAGGAGGAGAAGAGTGATTGCAAACCACTTCTGAATTGTCATAACTCGTCCAGGCAGTCGCCAGGAGTCAAAACTGGCTTGAATGCACCAAAGAACAGCAACAACCCAGAATGGGTGCTGTTTAAGCTTCCGCGCGGGGTGGAGGGCACCAGTCTCTGTCTAAAGATCCCCGAGAAAGCTCAAATGTGAAAAAGGGTTCAAAACCTCAGTCCCACCCAGCGTATTATGGCTTCACTGACCACACCTGAGAGACCCTGGGGGCCAGGGCAGAAAAGGAAGCGTGCGGCCTCTAGGCCAGAGAGGTTGTCCAACGCCCATCCTTATCTAGACCAACAAGTTTGACCCAAACCTCTCTCCCTGTCCCTTCATATCAGCAGCTTGTCTGCTCTTGTTCCTCATCAACACAAGCAAGGCCATTTCAGTTGCTTTTAATTTAGGGTGTCCCACAGCAGCACAGATACAGCCACAGTCCTGGTCAGCCCTGTCCAGCTCCTGAGTCTTCAACATCCCTGCTGTGTAGGTCCGGTATTTTCTGACAACGGTTGTAAAAGCAGAAGCCCAAGGAGGGAATGGCAACCCCAGCTCTTCCAGGAAGAAGGGCGCTCACAGCGGGTGGCGTCAGGCTTTGCTTCCCTCCTGCCAGAAGAACGGGAAAGAGAGAAACACGGGTCACACGTTGGACTAAGCCTTGCTTTATTTAAACAGAGTTGTGGAATAAGCCACAATTGGCTAGGTTTGCCCAAGCTAATACGCCGCAAATCATTGCTTCCAGACCACAATGGCTAGATTCACCCAACCTAAACTAAACCCAACTAACTAGAAGGAGATACTGACGCTTTCAATGTTCAAAGTAGATGTTGATCTAGTTGTAATACCTATTTGCTCCCCAGGGTGGCAGCACCTTCTCAATCTTGACTGATCTCAAAGATGACACTTTCTGTTCTTATCCCATCCCCAAAATGCTAAGTCAGGTTGGGCAGAATTACTGCATTATTTGAGAAATGACACTGAAGTCAATCGCTCTGGATCCTAAATTTCTAGGAGCTAAAAACATTTCCAAAATAAGAAATGAGGTGTCTGCGGAATACGGTCAAAAAAGTCAAAGGTGCAATTGACTCACGCAACGTGGGCATAGCTTTGACTGGAGTGTTTTGGCCCCCATCTTGACTTTTTTGACCACCCCTATGGACACCCCCGGAACAGAGTAGGAACAATTAAATTGCAGAGTGAGCTTAAAACTCACAGCTTCTCACTTACCCCGCCTTGATGGCTCTGAATAAGGAGGGTGTGGTTGGGACCCCACTCAAAGTCGCCCCCGTTGTGTGCAGGTCTCTGAACTGTGAAGCGACCCATCACCACGTCTGACTGCCACGGATTAACTTCTGAAGCCGAATCTGGAGTGGAGCAAGACAGTCCCTTCCTTAGGCATTTAAAAAGCAAACTCTCAGCACGGTCCCATCCTAATTCTGACCTTGTGTCATCAATCTTTTAACGAGGAAGGTAAACATATTCTGTGCCTGTTTTCCTTTTTTTTATAATTTTTTTTATTGAGTTTCAGAAAAAGGTAAAATACAGAAAAATCAAAAAGAAAAAAAAATAACAAAAGAGAGAAAGACAGAGAAAAAGAAAAGTAACTCCCGACTTTCTTTGGTTACAGGCATAGGTATAAAATACATTCAGCTCTTATTCCAGTATCTAAAAATTCACATAATACAAACTATCCTTTGCTCTAACATTTAAGAAGATTACAAAATAAGTCTATATCAGCAAGAAACATAAAAAGAGTAATACAAGATATGTCTGTAGCTATAGAATAAACCAGTCGTCAAATCCAAAAATCAAAATTTCATTTTTTTGTGTATCAAGTAAAAAGTCCAGGAGGGTTTCCAAATAGAAACAAAGCTAGAAAATGTCCTTTCTTTGATCGAAGTAGTCAGTTTCGCCATCTCCGCCAATTCCATTAATTTCACGTGCCTGTTTGTTTTTCAGCTTAACTAACTTAAAGTGGGGAATTTTCTATCCCCTTTGATACAAGTTAGTTTAACAAGTAGCATTGTTAATCATCTTAGATATGATATAGGAAAGTTTTAGGAAGTGACTACAATTCATTCAAAGTTTAATCCCTGACTACTTCAAAAAGCTAACCTTGTCTGAGGTCAGAAGTTAAGCCAGGTGGAACCTGGTTAGTACTTGGATGAGACACCACCAGGAAATCCCACAATGATAAGCTAAACTGGAAAATTAAAAAAAAAATGTCCTGGATGAAAGCAACGGCAAACTAGATTTGGTGCACGATTTTGAAAGGCCACCCTGATGTGAGTACCTTTGGCTTCTCTTTTGTGACGAGAACCAGCAGATTCGCACACTGAGTCGCAGCAGCTGCAGACCGAATGGGAGGTCCCATCCAGAGCTTCCCACCTGCAAGAGAGGAGAACGCTTCAGCTCCAAAATCTAGATCTGGCAGGAATGAAAATTGGCAGAATACCTAATTCAAGTCACCCTCATTGCAAGGCCCTCGCTCACTGCACCCCCACCTCAACACCCGCTGGACTTACTTGGGCCCCTCCCCTGTGATGGGTGGAGGAATGAATTGCATTCTGATTAAACGGCAAACTTAGCTTAATTTTGCATTTTCACACCAATATCTTGGTAGCTTTTTTTTTTTTAATTCATAACATTGAATTCTTTGAACACTTCATAGAAATACTGGGAAGCTCTGGCACCCATTAGCCACGCCCATATCTTATGGATTGACTACTGCAATGTGCTTTACGTGGGGCTGCCTTTGAAGGCTATCCTGAAGGCTTTGACTCCTTGGGCAAAGCAGGTTATTTTTCTCCCTTCCCGTCATCCTTACCTGTTAGTATCCCTGTTAAATGAGCAGGCCTTCCTTGTGGGGTCAGTCAGCACTTTGGGATCCCAGATGAGAAGTCGGCAGTGAAGGTAAACCTGAAGAAGAAACAATGATGGAGAAGCTGACGCTCATAATTAGCTTTTAATCCATCGCTGCCCTTGGCTCTCGTTTTGTCGTGCCCCGGGCAACCTTGCATACAGACCTATGCCTTATGCAAAGCATATCTACGAGAATTTCCTGCAGCGGCTGATAGAAGAGTTGACTTGACACTCTTCATTCCACCTACCCAGATCAAAACCAGTACTTAAGATGACTGTGTTTTGCATCTTGCAACCCAGCTATTCCCAACTCTCTCTAGGACAGTGTTTCTCAACCTTGGGAACTTGATCTTCAAATTCCCAAGGTTGAGAAATACTGCTCTAGGAAGACTTCACCTCCCAGAACTCTCAGCAATACCTCTAGAGCAGAAGTTCTCCAAGTATGGTCTGGGGACCCCTTGGGGTCCCCAAGACCCTTTCAAGGGGTCTGAAAAGTCAAATACATACATATATTAAAATTTCTCAGGTTTAATTTCTAACACAGTCAATATCAATTGATATAACCCACATACACCTCGATCATTTTTAAGAACATAAAGGGGTCCTGAGACCAAAGTGCCGGGGCTGGGTCAGAAGAGAGAAAAAACAGTTTTAACAGCAGTAGAGGTTTAAACATCTCCCATTCTTGGACTGGGGAGAAGGTGAAGGCAATGTCATAGACCAGTGTTTCCCCCAGGCTGGCTGGGGAATTCTGGGAGTTGAAGTCCACACATCTTCAAGTGGCCAAGGTTGGGAAACACCGGCATAGACGCTCGAAGATGGCACGGGAAACTGGCCACAAAGAGATGTGGCCAGCCTGGGCCTATGCCACGGTTAACTGCAAGCCAGCAGGGAAAGGAGTTGTGCTTCAATCGGTTTATATTTAAATTTTGCATGTTTGGGGTCTGTTTCGTACTTGTCCAAGGGGCAAGAAGGCACGTCGACCAAAATAAAATAGAAGCCCAGTTACGCGGCCTTTGGATGGGCAAGGCTACAGAAAACAGGTTCCTGCAAAAGGCGTCTCCTTGGATGGCTCCTGTGGCTGGTGTCCTTTTCGCAGGAGCCCTGCACGCACCATGAAGAGCAAAACTCAATTTTCCCCAGCGCAAGTTCCTAGTCCTCATCCCTGCTCAGTAAATTAGGCCAGGGACAGATTTACACGAGCAAAATCTCAAGCTAGTTCGACAGCAGGAACGCTGAGGCAGACCGACTTCAGTTCCTTACGTCCGTGTTTATCCCCACGAATTCAAAGGCCTGCAGAGAGAGACGGAGCACGTCTGGAGCATGTCGAGGGAGGAATCGCGAATTTGAATCCCGGCTGTCCAGGAGGCACCTGTTGCAAACACCAAAGGGAGAAAAGCCTATCAGCACTCATGCCACCGTGCCAGCTTCAAGGCAGCGTCCCAAATTGCTGCGCACAAGGAAGAATTGGGGTGACCTGAACTTAAGAAATCGATCTTTTGCCTCTGTGCACTGGATGAGGGATCACTGACATCCCCACCTCTTGCTCTTCCGTACTAAGTCCCGCTTTACCCCACAGGCTGCCCACTCCCCTTGGAGAAAAAGTAGGCAACACAGCTGTGTGTGCATGTGTGTGTGTGTGCCTATCTGGCTGCAACCAGGAAGCCTCCTCGTCCTCATGATGCTAAGTGGCATCTTTTACAATGGAGAAAAGCAATTTATATCCATCAGTTCTCTTCCCACCTCTGAGTAGCATGACAGGCTTCACGCATTGACTAAGCACGGTTTGTTGATTATGTCACAACTACACGTACCACGCTAAACCATAAAGCATGGTTTACAGATTAAAATGGCTGGACATATACAATATCATAAACCCAAAGCAAACCTCCTCCTCAGTTTCCTCTCTGTTGGCTGGTCTGCTTTCAGCTCAGTGAGTTAAACATGAGCTAGCCTGATACGCAGACCCAACCGATTGCTTATTCAGCAAACCAGGGCTAAACAAACTGACACTGAGTATGTGAATTCCTCGTTTTAGTTCCTGCAACCCAAAGGAAAAAACTGCCAGGACGCGCTCACCCGTGGTTTGCAATAACGCTGTAATTTCTGGAAGACCTGCTCAGTTCCGCCGCTTCGGCAGCGACGCATTCGTCCACGAAAAGCCGTAGAGGCTGGTGGAAGAAACGCTGCGCCATAAATTCAATGTGGATCTCTGACCCCAGGAGAAAGACCGACAGGTCTGAAGGAGCACTGAAGTCCTCTGCAGTGAGAGAAAAACCAGATAGTTAAAGGAACCTTTTGGTGGCCAAAAGCTGCCCTTAACATTTCTGGGGAGAGCCAAGGATCCCGGTGGGTGGGATCCCACACACATGGGAAGGGCCAGGATTTTCCGAGAGGTTTTTTCTCCCTCTTCTCCCTGAATTTTGAGAGTTTTGAGTAACTGTGCCAAGGGTTAGGGTTAGCCTATTTACCAAGGGCACTGAATTGGAACCGAATGTTCCTTTCCCACATTGATCAGTTCTGCACATCCCTCACCTGCAATAAGAGAGCCACTTGGGTGCAATAGTTAAGGCACCGGGTTAGAAACTGGGAAACTCTGAGCTCTGGCCCTGCCTTGGGCACAAAGCCAGCTGGGCAACCTTGGGCCTGTCCCTCTCTCTCAGCCCTAGGAAGGAGGCGGCTAGGGCAAACCACTTCCCAAAAATCTTGCCAAGAAAACTACAAGGACTCATTCAGGCAGTCGCCAGGAGTCAACACTGACTTGAAGGCACCCAAAAAATAAAATAAAAATACTACAGTATATGGACCGGAATAGTCCAAATGACCATAAGATGGCACCAAAGAGTTGGAGATTTCTTCATGGCTTCGCTGACATCTTGTGGTCATCTGGAATTTTGCAGGCCAGATCTGGTAGCCTTACTTACCCTACTGTTTGGCTGGGTTCACCCAGCATGCTCAGAACAGATACTGAACTGCCTGCCTGCCTGCCACGCGCGCCCAACCCATTCTGTATACATTCAGAAATATGGGTCAGTTCTGCAATTAAGCACACAGAATGAACTTGGCTTTATTTATTATGGCACAGTCCTTCATTTCTTCTAAGGTTCTGCATAAGTTAGAAAAGTTTATTCTTTTTGTCTTTGGCTGTGAAAACAGAAATGCTCTGGATCAGAATACTTCACAGAAGTAACTGCTTTTACAAGAAAAGAGAAGCGGTTTCAGTCCGCCCCAAGCTTTTAGATCAGGCGGAAAAGATCTCCGGTTTTGCTTAGTGAGAGTGAATTTCCGCTTACCGTTCATAAACGTCCCTTGGAACATTAGTCCGCCGGAACCAGAGAGCAGGCCAGACCCAGTGACTCGGGCGGGAGTCGGGCGTTGTGCCCTGGAAGGCAGGAGAAAAGAGGCTTGTCCGGCAGAGGACCCCCCACCCCAACTACGTGGTGCCTATATCAGCCCTTCGAGGTTGGCCAGGTCAGGAAACAGACACCCCATGAACTACTGGAACTCTGCTTTACTATTAAAGGGTATTTTAACGGATCTTGAAAGCCTGATAAGGTTTTTTCTCTTCCCCCTCCCTTATTAAGGAGAATTAAGGCAATTTGAGCTTTTTCCCCACCCCCATCTGTCTATCCAAGCTACGTGGATGCTTGCATAACCATCACTGAATTTCTTCTTTGTGGCCATCTCTGTCCTCCTCTGCGTGCCTGCAGGAAAAGAGGCACCTGCTTACGCTCCCCTCGCCATCCCCAGTCTAACTTTTTTTGAAAATAGGAAGCTATCATGCTGCAAAGCAAAGCATCAGCCAGGGTTTTGCACAGGAGGAGTCAAAAGAGTCAAGATGGCAGCTGTGGCCCCATAACCCAAGCGCCACCCCTTTTGAATGCACGCCACACATAAGAAAGGGGTGCGGCTCCAGTCGGAGGGCTGTGGCCTCTAGTAGGGTAATTAGGGGCAAGAATACTTCTGGGCCCCACAGGATGGGGGCTGCAGCTTAAGGCCTCACTGGCCGTCTGGCCATCTCTGCAGGAGAGGGGCAACAGGCGGCCAGCTGCGACCCGGCGCACCTTGGAAGGCTCGTGAGCGCAGTGGGGAGACCCCGGCCAGTCTGCCCCCTGCAGTGGCTGTTTTACGACTGGTCTTGGCAGCCAGTGCCCAAGACTCCCTCAAGCTGAGTTCATCCCCTACTCATCCCGTACGTCCGTTTAAGGGCTTTCCCGACAACCCTACAGGAAGGACTTGGCATCGCCTTCTGGGTTGTGTTTCTGCCTTCCCAAGCTAGCAGATGGCACTAGGATTTCCTGGAAGGGTCTCAGACAGGTACTACTCAGGTCCAATTCGACTTAGCTCTTTCAAGAGCAGCCAAAAGCAGCCAAGGGCTTGGCCACTTAGCCGGGCCAAGAAGGTCCACCATCTGCTCTTAAAAGGTCACCTACTGAAGGGAGAAGCTCAATCTCTTTCTCTCCCCCACCGCCCCCATAGATATTACTGTAGCTCTCCAGATCCAGCTTTGTTTTTCACCTATAGAGCCCTCCACGGCTTGGCTCTCAGGTGTCAACACCAACTTCTCCAAGCTGAATCTTCTCTTCTTGTGCACTTAGCCCAGAAGGGGATGCCCTGAGGGCAAAACACTTTGGTGACGGTTTCATCCTTTTGGAAGAGTCCCCCCTAGAGGTCCAGGCTGCCTCCCCATTACTGGATTTTAGAAGGACAAGGAGAACCATTCTACTCCAGAAGGCTTTTGAAATTGGTCGGCTGATCATTTCACCTGTACAGGAAGGGTGGCGGGATGTTTCTCTAATCCATTATTTTTTTATAGCCGCATTTGGATTGTTCTGACGGTACCGCTTCTGAGATGGTTCTCCTCTTTTATTCTATGCGTATTCTTGTTTTATTCTGTTTTATTACTGTGAACCACTTGCAGCTGGATGGAATAGGGTTATATATAAATTATGCGACAAAATAAAATGAATAAATATTCTCCACCCTGATATGGACAAAGCTTTTCCCAACTGTGTGACCTCTAGAATTTCTACACTGCTGAAGCTATGCCAAAGTCAAATTCCATTATGACTTAGTAGCACATTGTACACTAGATACACAAAAACTGGTTTGGGCAGTGCTACACTATGGCATGTTGAAGAAATCACGATTGGCTGGGTTTGCACCACATACTAAACCCTAAACCATACCTTACAAATCACAAACGTTGCACTTGCATAGCACAAATCTGAAGCTAGATAAAACCCCACATTATGCCGTCACTTTTCTGCGAACCCAGCCAATTGTGGTTTACTTAAAAAGAAAATCACTTCTGCTGTATTTGGTGTCCAGCAGAACATTTTGCATTTTACAGTTTGTTTTTTTCTTGATCAACAACTTGCCTATATTAATATTTGTTAAGGGAGAAAGATATGAATCTAATTGTTCAAGATCTGCAGCAGCAGTTTGCATTAAAGTTCAGCCTGCTTTGGAAAGGCACACTGGGAATAATTCCTTCCAGATCAGCTCTGCTGCCCATCAATGATCCATGGGCTACAGTTCTTTTCAGCCTCCAAGCTCAGCACTTACTCAAAGGTTGTACAGTTAATCCTCTCTGTGAACGGGCTGTTGTACTGTCCGCCAAGGCTGGACACCGGCCTGTACACCAGTCGGGTTGAGTACTCAACCATTTTGCCAGATGTCTGCAAGAATCAGAATTTCATGTGAATGTCAGGATATTTACGGATATTCCCTGAACCCTCAGCCGACCTTGCAATGGCTCTCGGTCTTGTCTATCTCATGCCCTGTCAGAGAAAATGGATCCCAACCAAGACCAAGCAAAAGGCCCCACTTTTTCCAAGAATTGCACTTATGGGTTCATAGGTATTATTAGTTTGTCATTTATTCAATATATCAGTTACGGTAAGGACATAACAGTTTGTAATGATTCTACTGACAATGCTTCTATAAGTGTAAAACAAGGAGTGAAAGCTAACTAGGGCTTTGCCAATATTCTCCCTTAAGCCTAAACCAAAAAAGTTTGAGGGTGCAAAACTGATTGAGGAACACTGTCCTCGTGGATTCCCGAAAAGGTGACTGCATCCCTGGAAGTCATTGTACAATGAAATAGCCATCCACCCTTGGGCTGACTGCTCTGCGGATTGCCAAGACGGTCTACCATTGCCTTCCCCAATTGGAAGTCCTCCAAATACATCGTACGACAAATCCCATCACCCCCAAACATCATCCAAGTGCTGAGATGCCAATCCACATACTGTTATGCCGTAGAGTTGGAAGGGGCCATTGATATTTCAGAAACTGAAAAGTCTGAATTTTGTTACTTGGGCTATGTAATAGACCGGCATTTGAGCACTAAACCAATGCTCCTATTGAACATCTTGCATGGCCACTGAACTGTCTAGGATGGCCAATGCATTCTTAGCAAAGTCTAAGGAGGCACTGAACTTCCTTGGCCCCAGTCATGCCTACCGAGAGGCTCCTGCAGGTTGGACTCCTTTGGTATCTGGGGATCTATCCATCAAAGGCACCATCTAGCCTTTGGAGAGATCTGATAGGCAGTCACACACAGGGGGAGGGCCTTGACTAATTATCAGATGGTGTGCATGGCTCATTGCCAGATGCCCATTTCATACAAGGCAGTGGCAGGGCTGTTCCCTGCCATTCCTTCTAACTCCCAGAAAAGCTTTTTATCCTCCCATCCTGGAAGCGCTTCCAAGCAGCGTCCCGGGCACTGTCCCAATTGCCTCTATGTACCCACCCTTTAATTAATTAATTAAAATCAATTAATTTAATTTATGCATTTGAGACTTAAGTGGAGTCCAAGATATTGCAGGCCAGATTCTCTGATTACTGTGGAGTCCTTGGGGTTCTCTGAGCTTGGTTCTTTTCTTGCAACTTTTTCTCGCAAGAAAAGAACCAAGCTCAGAGAACCCCCCAAGGACTCCACAGTTCAACCCTGAGCTACACATAATTCACCTCCATCTCTGATTACTTTTATATATTACTTCAATGAAAAGGAATCGGAGGGTTGAGGAACCCGGTTGGCACCAAGACAGGAGTCTGTGCACTGATACCTCCCATAGCCACAGCATGGTCCGAACTGCCCCTTTGCACTGCAACTGCCTCCCTCATCCCAGCTGCCCTTCAGATGCATTGGAAACTCACTGCCATCTCCAGGTTTGGCAAGCTGCAGTCCAAGGACATTTAGAGATGAGGGCAGGGGGCAAGTGTCATCGCACATACAATGGCAACCTTGTACAACTGGCATAAGTTGCATACTTCATGCAATTTGTACAGTCATGTTACAACATGTGACATTAATGTAGCTTGCACCAGAAACCAATGTTGCAGTCCTAATACATCTGGTGGACACCAGACTGAGGAAGGCGATGCTTGAAAGTCACCCCATCCCCTCCTGAATTCTTCCACTGATGATAAAAAGCTGTTCTGTGTTTCTCCACAATCTTAGTCACGGGTTTGCTGAACCCCACTTCTTACATGAGAATCTAACTAGCCTTCAGTGGTGTGAGCCCAAACTCTTACGTAGGACCTTTCCCCCTCTGCTGAGTCGAAGCGAGTGAACACAGAACAAGAGAACAAGCATGACTTTTGCTGACCACATTGCCACCCACTATCCTGGCTCGATTCTCTTGGTTCCCATGACTGGCAGTCCCAAGTTCCTACCAAGACAGAGAGAAAACCAATTCGATATACCCTGAAATTGCCCTTGGACAATGTCAGAATAAAGAGGAGAAACTCATCTTTAATACTGGTATGGCTAAGGACGACTTAAAATCTCTCAGTGGGGATGAAAGAAAGCCGAGATTCCTTTCTATTGGCCTGCATCTTTCTCTAATTTAAAACAAGTCAACATCATGATGACATGGGAGAAAACATAACGGGGTGCCAAATATATTTGTGCCATGGTCAGGCACAAGTTGGGGAAGGCGCCTTAGACTGAGGTGCCCCATGCCCACCTATCAGTCCCAACTTTCCCCAAATCCCCATTCCAGAGATCAAGCAAAGATCTTAACATCCCTTACCAGTCGTGCGAAGCGACACTCCTGGAATGAATACTGAAAATGGAAGAAGCCCAGGGCATTATTCACGTGTGAAGAAGGGCAGCTGCCCAGGTAGAGCAACTCTGGGTCCAGCCTGAGACCAGTCCCCCAAGGGTCCATTTTGATAGCCAGGTGGAGACTGGTCTTGTTGCATTTATAGATCACTGAGTTTTCAGGAACTGTGGGATAGAGAAGGATCAAGGTTGATGAGATAGACCCTCACGGATCACAGGTTTGGATGGGAGCGCATCAGGAAATCCTAGAACTGTAATCCAGACCTGGAAGCCCAAAAACATTCCAACAAAAGGCAAACAAATCTTGTGCTATGGTTATTGTTGCTGAGAAAACTACCCAGCCACGTCCATGAATTTAAGAGATTTTACTGTCAGTACAGATACGTTTTGGTCCGAAACTTGTAGAGCTATTAGCCTAAGTATTTACTGCTTGTGAAAGACCAACGTACTCATTTCAATTGTATGGAACTCATCAGGAACTGTAGATGCCATAAAATTAATCATCACCCAGTGCCAGAAGGACAAGTTTACACACCTTCCTTGTTGATACGCACGTTTTCTCTAAGCTTGAATGGCTTTTTCTTCAAGAGAGGGCCAAAAGATTAACATCTCTGAGCAGTTTAGCCACATTTTGCTATCTGCTTTGTGTTTTTGTATATTGGTGCCATTAAAAAAAATCCACATTTTACATCGTGACTATTGTTATTACCCTTCTATTTTAGACTCAATGGTCTTTTACAGCATTTGAAATGTCCTGGAAAGGGAGTCCTTATTTTCTGTCTCCTCCCCTTCCCCCCAGCCCAGATCCCCAGAAAAGATAGGAAGTAGAAACTGGCTGAAGGAGCATTAATAACTGCAATGCAATAGAAAGTTATTTGGGGATATGGGAGGAAAGGCGGAGAGAGAGAATGAGATGGGTTTAGATCTAATTAAGCAATTAAGCCTGCAGGATATCTATCAAGCAAGCCTAGCTCACATGTTAGAGATGTTATCCGTGTTATGAGACAAACGGGGCAGAAATGTAGTGCAGAGCCAAGCTAAGATCAGTCCTGCTAGTTCCTGGAACACAGCCAGTATAGGAGAGGCCTTAAAGGCCATCTAGCCCACCTATTTTATTGGTAAGGGGGAATGAGTAAAGATTTGGCAGGGGGAGGAATAGCTGCATATACAAGGCCGGCTTTCAATTTCACAAGCTATCTTGGTTCAGAAAGGCATAGGTGGAGGGTGCTGTCGTTTGTCCTAGATAGATATGGCAGCAAGCTGCAATTAATGCAAAGCAAACCAACAGATTTTCAGTTCTCTACTTAGTTCATGAGATGGTGATGCCCCAAGACTGGGTTTGTACAGCCCACAAAGACAAAAAATGAAAGGCTAGGTTGCAACTCAGCTTGTTGCGCAATCCCAGCCCAGGTGGTGGTTAGTTTAGGGTTTACAGAGGTAGATAATAGTGCCTGGCAAATCTTGTCTGAACTTGGAAGATAAGCAGGATAAGGCCTGGTTACAGCTTGGATGGGAGACCACTAAGTCCAGAGCTCTAGGCCAGACTCAAATTTGAAAAAGCATCCTAAAAAAAAAACATTTCATTGTTGATATAGTCATCAGGTTTCAAGCTGGACTCAAGGGAGACTTTATCTTATATGCATTACAAAGCTAGGCACCTGGGTTAATTCAATAAACCATAGTTTAATTAACTACTGTTAAACTATGATTAAGCACAAATTATAAAGCCAACTAATATCTGATCACTTGCCACACATGCTCATAATTAATTGAACCACAGCTTATTCAATTAACCTACTTTTCTAGCTTTACAAGGCAGACTAAACCATAAATTAACCATATACATTTGATTAATAAATAAATACCAGCTAGGGTCACATCATGTACCAAAAGCAAATGTTATGGTCCATCATGGACAATTCCAGACTCAGTTCCTCCTTTATTACAGCTTCATAAACTCCATCAGAAGAAGCAGGGAGCAGAAATTCCTTTCTATTTATCCACATCTCTCTGCTTTAGAAAGAAGCCTTGCTCTCACCAGGGGAGACCAGAATGAGGTTCATCTATAACCACCCCCTTCTAACTCAGCTTTGACCTAGAGGAAAACACACATGGTTACCCTTTTGAGCTGCAGTGGCTACCAGCAGCACCCAAACCGAGACTGTGAAACTGTTCCTATGCAGTCCCATCTTGGTATCCCCCACTTGCAACACAGAAGAATGAATTGCTGCTTTGTCTCTTGAGCATCCCTTTATCTCCTTCCCAGAGAAGCCCCACCCAGAGACACAGGTGTTGGAGACCCATCCTGATCATCTCACTTTCTTTGGGAAGGGCCCAAATTGAAGGCAGAGCCCGTCTCTTTTATCCAGAGGTGTCAGCAAAGAGGCCGATCAGGAAAGGGCAACAGGGACCCATTTTTTTCTGTGTCCAGGACATGTCAAGCTATAAATCAACCCACATGGGCTGGATTGGGTGGTCTCTGGCTGATGGTGTTGCATGAATTCTGCCCATTTTGTTCATTTGTGCCTAAGTGTGTTGTACAAAGTCAGGCAGTTGGGTAAACTCAGAAAATCATGGCCTCTGTTGCTGGGTTCCTACAACACACTGAACCATAGACTGGCTAACCACATTGTAGGCTGGTGTGTTGTCTGAACTCAAACTGTGGGACAAATGAACCATAGTTAACATGTGGTTGTATAAACTATAGTTAACCTTGGATAAGTGTCTTGTATGGATAGAGTAGGTACATGCATATGTGAACCCAGACACTGGGGTTTGCTAATCATGAGCTATTGTTGTTCAGTCGTTAAGTCGTGTCCGACTCTTCGTGACCCCATGAACCACATCGCGCCAGGCCTTCCTGTCCTTCACTGCCTCCCTGAGTTTGCTCAGTTTCATGCTTATTGCTTCAGTGATGCTATCTAACCATCTCATCCTCTGCTGTCCCCTTCAATCTTAGCTTTTGCCTTCAATCTTTCCCAGCATCAGGGTCTTCTCCAAAGAGATCGCATTAGGTGACCAAAGTATCTGAGCTTGAGCTTCATTATCAATCCTTCCAATGAGCAATCAGGGTTGATTTCATGAGCTATGGCTTAGTGAAATATGTGAAGCCAGGTAGCTGTGGTTTCACAAATAATGGTTCAATTAACCATTGTTCAGAGTGATATATGAGCTAGGTTAGTGACCACTTACAGTGCTGACAGTAGAGTTGGGAACGGCTGAATATTTTTCAGCTAGTCAGCTACTGTGGCTCTTCCTTTCACAACTGTTTAATGTCCTATCATTAGCAGTTCATGCTAAACACTTAGGAAAGGCAAAGAAGCAAATTTGTGTGCAGCTGGATTACTACTTCATGCTAAGCCAGGGTTTATTTAGCATTGGTTTATTGAAGAACCACAACTGTCTGAGCTTGTTCCAACACATCAAGTTTACAAGCTACAAAAATGGGTTTGCAAGCAAGCCAGATTATGGCCCAGCAAGATGCTTGGGCCATGTTGATTATTCCTCCTAGGGCTTCAGGAAGGATTCAGATGAAGTCGTCTGACCTTAGGCGATCACAGCACCTTTCTGCTCTTCATTAAAGCAGCCAGATGGTATTCAGATCTTCACAAAAAATGGGCACCTGATGCTTTAAGACTTGGGTCAATTTTAACAAAAGACTTCTTTGGAATCATTTTTGAACACTGCATAGCTTGAGACATCTGTGGCCAAGGCCTTGGGCTGTGATGAGCTCATAACTATTAACAGAAGGCCTATAGCAGCTGGATTACTTTTAATAATGATTTGTCAAGCTAGCCAGCTTGGTTTGCATCACACATGACACTGAACCCGTCAGCCCTAGGAAGTTGACTAGGTCAAGAATTCCACAGGAAGACCAGAACGATACTTTATTGAGATAGACTACAGTATAGTAAGAGAACCTTGAATGTTGGCTGGGAAATTCTGGGGCTTGAAGTCTACACAGCTTAAGGTTGTTGAGACTGAGAAACACTGCCCCAGGGAATCCAGGGGGAGCCAGTCTGAGTCTCTTTCCTGCCTCCTGGGCTCAACACATCCCTCTGCACCTGTGTTGTCTTAACTGCTTCTGAATGGCTTCTCCAGGATCAATTCCATGGCTCCCTAAATATAGTTCATTTGTTTATGGATCAAAGTCTTGTGAAAACCCAACCAAATGAGTTAGTTCTTTAATTTGTTTTTCAAGATGGCACTAAGGAAGGAACATTCCCCTTAGTTAGGATGTCCAACCATAGATGTGTTTTGGTCAATGGCATTGTTTTAGTATGTCCTGTGGACATTTGTTGGGAGTTTTGAGCAGGTTTGGACTGAAGGATTGGTAAATTTGATCTGAAATGTGGGCTGCACATAAACAGGCGGAGCTTTGATCACACCATCATGGCTGCCATCTTGACTTTTTTACCACACCCTGCCTCAGGCAATAGCTCGGACAGCAGAATGGGCCTGAGTACTACAGGTAAAGGGTAAGAAGAGCAGGGGTGCCATGCCAACCTGCCCACTTTGGAAACTTCAGCCCAGTTGAGTCCAAATATCTGGAGCAAAAGATAGATAAGGTGCTTTAATAATATCCTTGTGGGTTTGTTCTGGTTTTAGGTTTTCCTGCCTCAGAATTGTTAGGGATTGTTTAGGTGAGAGACGAGGCAGAGATCAAGGAAGCTCTGTCTATGGTGAGAGGCACACCAGGGTTGAAGCTCAACCATCCAGACATTAGTGGAAGGGCATCTGGGGGTAGAGGGCTTCCATCATTGTACTAACATAGGAAGGATAAGCGAATATGTATGTGAGCAAACCTGTGTAGTGTTGTTTGTCAGGAAGGATCAGTTGAGTGGGTCTGGGCAATTTGGCTCGTTGGGATATGGAGGTTCCCTTTTGGTGGCACATGGAAGGGAATCAATCCCAGCAAGAAAGGATGGTAGTTATAACCCTGTAGCCTGAGATAGATATGTGGGGAGGGGAGCAATGGGTGGGAAGTTACAGAGAAAGAGTGGACCTCCAATTTGGTGGCAACTTCAACTTCCAACCTGATAGCTCCATTCTGAGGCCCACGTGGCTGGATTGCTGAAGACCTTAGTCTCAAGGAGCTTATGGTCAATGCCAGATCTGTCTGTAATAAGACCACCTTCATCCACAACTTGGTGGTGGTGGTGGTGGTGGCGGCATGTTACTGAAATCTGGCTGAGTGAAGGTGATGATGTGGCCTTGTCTGAAATCTGTCCAGCTGGGTTTCAGGTCCTTCAGCAAGCTTGACACCAAGGCTGGGGAGGGGGGTGGCTTTGATTGTGAGGGTCATCTTACCTGTGATAAGGGACTCTGCTCCTGAGATACTGGGGTGTACCAGTATGTTATGATGTAGAGAGGTTTGAAATCCTGCTGATGTACTGGCCACTATGCTGCCTGGCAGGATCTCTTTCTGGGCTGCTGATGCTGGTCTTCAGGCTGGTGGTGGAGAAGCCTTTCGATGTTGGAGAGCTTCAACCTCCATGCCTTGGCGTGGCTCTGGTAAAACACAGGAGTTCATAGCCTCCATGGCAACCATGGGTTTCAAGTAACATCAGGCCTAACATATGTAGGTGGGCATACTTTAGATCTTGTTTTTTTTTAGAGCAGATGTTATATGATCTGGAGATGGAGGGGATTTCCTTTACTCCATGGTATAGTCAGCTCATGCTTTGATGCAGATCTGATTGATAACAACCCATGACCTCTATGGGGTATAAGGTATTTTTGAAGAATCTGCCACAGGTGCCTAATAATTGCAAATTATTTCCAGAGGATGCTTGGGAGTTCCCCAGTTCTCTGGCAGGTAGCTTGGTTCAATACCTGGTAAGCCACTAGTAATGGGAGCAAGTAGGGCACTGGACATGATGGTCCCCCAAGTAGACTCTTTCTGGGGGCTGAGTCTGGTGGAGCCTTGGTTCACTGAGGCCCTCTGAGAAATGAATCACACTAGAAATAACACCTGGAGAACTCACTGGTGGGGAAAGACAAAAAATGAATCCGGTTGAGCATGGGTGCGTGCTCACCATGGCAATAAGACAGGTGAAGTGTGCTCACTTTTCTCTTATTGTGTCAGCAAGCTGTCATTCCAATGGTCCTGTTTAGGGTGACTCATTCCCTTTTAAGAGGAGCCAGTAGAGAGATCTTCCACCTGGTCACTGGGATCAATTTTCACAGCAAATGCTGACTGGATTGTGCTATGCTACTAGTAGCCTGGATCCCTGACTATCCTGGCTATTTCAAGGAATGGGTGGAGATGTAACCACCAGGATCTGGAAGATAATCAACACATCTTGCGGGGGAGGGGAAGCTACCAGCAATCTTGAAAGAGGCTGTGGTTCACCCTCTCCTGAAGAAACCATTCATGGATTTGGTGGTTTTACATAGCTATCAGCCAATTTCCAATCTTCCATTCTGGGGGAAATTTGTTGGACAGTAGTGGCAGATCAACTACACAGCACCTTGGACCATCTTCAGTCAGGGTTCAGGCCAGAGTATGGAACTAAGATGACAATGATCACTTTGCTGGATGACCTATGTCTGGACCTGGATGAGGATGGTGCTGGTCCTTATAGACCTCTCAGTGGCTTTTGGTGCCATCAATCATGATATCTTACTGGATCGCCTACAGGGATTGAGGAGTGGAGGCACTACCTTATAGCGGTTCAGCTTCTGTTCCCAGTGGACAGCTTCAGTCTGTTGTCATGGTGGAGGAGATGTTGCCTCAATGGCTCCTGACTTATGGGGTCCCACAGAGATTGGTCCTCTTCTCCTTGCTTTTTAACATCTATATGAAACTGCTGGGGGAGTCCTCCAACAATTTGGGGTGTGATGTTATCAGTATGCTGATGATACCCAGTGATACACTGCCATCCCAGGATATAAGATGCTGTCAGCTTGGTGTTTGGAGGCTCTAAGGGTCTGGATGAGAGAGAACAGACTGAAGCTGAACCCAAGGAAGGTGCAATTGCTGTTTGTTCTTTGAGATTCTCTGTCAACAACAGTGTTATCTCAGGTTGGGCAAGCACAACCTGTGAAGGAGCAGATTCACAACATGGGGGTCCTTCTGGACTCACAGCTTCTACTCGAGCAGTAGGTGGAAGATGTGGCTAGGGATCTTTACCCAGCTTCAGCTGGTACATCAATTCTGGCCTTAGCCCACCCCTTTATAGCTTGGCGCCTGGCTCCCTGCAAGACCATCTACTCCAACCTGAATCAGCCTGACCTACAAGATCTTCTAGGGGGAAACTCCCTGTAGTCCTGCACTTCAGGGGAGTGAGGGGGCCAAAGCTAGAAGGTGCTTCTTCTCAGGGGCAGCACCAGAGCTTTGGAACAACCTCCTGGCAGAGATCAGAGCAGCCCCCTCCTTGATAATTTTCAGAAGGATGTTAAATACTGAGCTATTTTGGAGTGTTCCAGTCATGTTTACATACTGTGCCATCTTTTATATTCTTTTATTTGTGTTTATCTTATTTTTGTTATTGTGTATGGGTTTTCTCATGTAGCTTTTTAATGGCAATTTTAAATGTTTCCTTTTATCATGTGAACTGCCAAGAGTCACCAGGTTGCATCAGGAAATACATGCAATAATAAATAAATAATCACATTTGCTTAGCCATGGATTAGCATGTTGTGAAAACATAAGCCATTACTTTCAACCAGGGCTAACCAAACCACTTGGTAGCTTAGCACAATGTGTGAATCTACCCTATAGCTGACTTTGTTTACACAAGCCGTGATGTGCTTTATTTGATTCTGACTTAGCATACTATGAGAACCTACAGCCACTGTGGTTTGAACAATATGGCTTAGCTGAATATATGAATTCAATTACTGGGTAGAACTACAGATTCCTCCTGCTACGGTCCTCCTCATGCTTGAACTATGGGAACATCTTGGAGTGCTGGCCGGGGACAGATGATTTGGAAGCATCAGTCCACAAGCTGAAGCTGTACTGTACTTCCCATCACCCAGCCCTTTTAATGCTGACGTAGAGCAGATCTCCTTCTTCCTTAATCCTCTCTCCTCCCCTTCCTCCCCCTACTGCCACCTCCAACAGGTTTGAAAAAAAGAAGCAAGACAGGGAACAGTGAACAGACCTTTGTATTAAAACCGTCTTATATACATTATAATTGATTTACAAAATTATAGCTATTTTATTTATTTTTATAATGAAGAACACTAAGTATGCACAGATGTGGCAGGTAGGCAGAAGCGTTTCCTTTAAAATTATTGCAGCCAATCACACCTGTTGCAGTGTATGGAAGGAAAGACACAGCTCTCCAGGATAGCTGTATCATGAGTACAGTATTTGGACTATGTACTTCCACATGAACTCTTCTCTTCTCTTCTCTTCTCTTCTCTTCTCTTCTCTTCTCTTCTCTTCT